AACGGGATGCAACCTAGGAACGGAAAGATTATTTAAAGGAAAATCATCCAACTTTCTATACTAAATGGTACTCTTTCCAAATCTCGGGACGAGATTTTTCTAAGGGGGGAGGGCTGTAACACCCTAGGTGTTTGGCTTCCACTAATTGCATTTTATTTCATAAACATGTGCATCATCTATCTCATCATGCCTTTGTTACCGAAACATGCATATGCAACATTTTCCAATTGTGTATGTTTCCTACTTGAGTGTTGTGAATAGTAATGGGTAACATGTGAATGCAACCTGAGTTTCTTATACCTTGAAACATGGCAACATGGTAGTAATGCGACAAATATAGAATAACAACAAAGTCATGCAACATGTGAAACATTGCATTGCAACATATGAGTGAATTGCTTGTTTTAGTTGCTTTATCACATGTGATCATTAGAAGAGGTATAACAATTTTGTAAAATGGTTGATCATGGTCTATTACACCTTAACTACACTTAGGTTACTTGTTGGGACATTGTTCATGTAGATCAAAATGACCAAAATGCCCTCAAGTGAAGGTTTGACTTGAATTGACCCTTGGAGTGTCATTGTTTGACTGTTTCAAAAGACCAACCTAGAAATCTTGCATGGTTGTACACTCTTTACAAAAGTTGTAGCTAATTTATTAAGGAACAAAAGTTGTTTTATGACCAACTCATGAAAATGTGTGGAACATGCTCAAACATGGCCCACAAGTCAGAAGTTCATGCTGATTTCACTGAAAAATTTGTCTAAGTCTTAAACTGCAATTTCAGTTGGATCAGGCCAACTTGGGGCTTCATTTAACTTCTGATCCATGGCGAATTAGAGGATGGTCCTTGAAAATAAATGGTAGATGGATGGTAGGCCTACAATTTTCATGTACACTGTTTTTGCAAACGAGCAACAGATTAGTCAGGATAATGCGTGGAAGTCGCGCTGTCAGGCTGATCAAATCGACTGAATGGCGTGCTACAGTGTTCGACAGGTTCAGATTTTCATCGCCGCGTGGTGCCACCCGTCGCCGCTCGCCTAAGCGCGCAGGCCACGCGCCGTGGACGCCCTGGCACGGCCAGCCGCGTCTTGAGCACCCCGCGCACCTGCCCGACGCACTCGCCCGCTCCAGTTCTCATTTCTTCGCCTCCACCACGCGCTGCAAGCGAGCTGAAGCAGTCTGCCATTGCCGACCGCGTGTCGCCGTCGTTGTGCATGCTCGCCACCATGAAAATGCGTTGCCCAGCCCGCCTATAGCCTCGCCGTAGTCTTCTCTACCTTCTCCACCTCACCGTCGGTCCAATCGAGCCTCGGTAAGGGCGAATCGTCGCTGTTCTTCCACCACCGCCATGGCTGACCTCGCCGGCATTGTTGCTCCACGCGGACAACCGCCACCGTGACCCTCCCATCCCTTCCTCTACCTTGCACTAGGTCTAAGGAGCACTGAGGAAGCTCGTAGGGTCACCGTTAGGGGCCGCGACGCCGTAGTTTCGTCAGAGCCGGTCAAGCCGCGGCCGAGCGCCGCCGTGGCCATCGCCACCCCCTCTAGCTATGTCATTAGCTATAATAGATGGTTCCCCTATGTCCGCTTGGGTGAGGCGAACACGTTGGCACCGTTGCCTTCGCCGGAGGAGCCACCGGCAGCGAGTTGCGCCGTCGTCTTCCTCCGCTCCCCTATTTCTCTCACTGACACGCGGGTCCCTTTGTCAGTCGCCGCTGTTGAGGAGGCAGCTAGCCTAGGCCACACCGTGTGACTGGGCCGCTTGCGCACGCGTCATGGGCCACCGTTCCTTCGGGCCGGCCCAACAGTGGCTGAGTTGTAATTCGATTCGAGTCGCCGTCTCCCCCGGTTAGTGAGAACTTGACGGGCTTATCTCCAATGTAGATACACTAAATAACATAATGGTTCAGAATTGATGATATGATGATG